TAATAACAGGAAGACATTATTATATACCTCATATTTTATCATGACATAACATGGACACTATTTAGCATAATGCTTGACATAGTAAGGGCTCAAAAATGAGAGGTACCTCTTATTTCTAGTGGTTGTGTTGGGCAGGAGAGACCAGAGGATGATTTTGAATTTAAGTCTAAATCCCACTTTATACTTACATAGCTTCTGTTACAAAATGCAGTATATAACTTGGCCATCACTCAATAATGCTGTTTGATATTTATATTTTCTAATCATTTCTTGTTGATGTAAATATTGTATACAATTATTAACTTTACTAAAAAATACATTTTCCAAGGAACTGTGGAAGTTATTTAACCACCAGGTATCCCCTCCCCTCCCAGTGTGGTGTTGGGTTTCAGCCTGACTCAACCCAAATAGGCAGGTTATAGTTAAGAGATTGCAACATTCAGGGAATAAAATTTATGACGTGTGCCAATCATTAATTTTTCTTATCTCCTTGATGTAACTTGTCTGAGAAATAAATCAACCTTTAGTCTTATTAAAATGGATTCTCTAGTTAATTTCTAAAGGCTGATTCTAAAATTTAAAATTAAAGATCTAACTAAAATTAACTCTCATGCTTCCTAAAGATTAAATCTCAAGGGAAAAAGAAAGTGATTCTTTTAAAATCTGGCCAGCCCTTAAAACATTTGCAGTCAATTCCATTGTGTTTTGTTCAGGGAGAACGAGCTGATGCCGTTCTTGTTGCCTGTTATTTAACAGCAACAACGGACCAGTTCAGGTACAGACATCTGAAGTTCACTGTAATTCTTACCAGAAAACTCCATCTAACTCACCTAGTAGGTTGCTTGGTTAATGGGAGAAGCACAATGAGAAATGTACTGAAAGGAACTGGCTCTAGATTCCCTAAATACACCAAGAACACTGGAAACAAGTCATACATACTATTTGGGTTTCCAACTCTCCAGACTCCAAAGATTATTCTTAGTGCCTTTGTGGAAATTTCAATAAATTGTCAGGGCAGAGGTGATTGCTATGGTATATCTTGCTTGTAGGTGTTTATTCTTGAACACCTAGAGAATTGGGAGCAAGTGGAAGGCAGTGAAGACCCGTTTTGAGGGTTTCTCTTTTGAGAACAGTGGTTGGAGGAGGGCAGTGGCAAAAGGAAAAGGAGATGAGGGGGAAGGGAAGCATCCTGGCAGAGAAGGGTTGCAGAGAAAGCTCACCTCGAAGTACTAGCAGATCGCTTAACAGCAGAAATGCATTAACAGGATGTTAAGGTGGAGTTTGGAATGAGGAATGATACTGTCTATAAAGGAGAACCAAGGGAGATGCTAGCTGGGTGTCATGATACACTTTGAGTTCATGGGAAGCTGCTGAATGTAATAATGTGAACAAGTTATTTTATGAATGGAAATTACTATGGAGTTAATGATTGGATGTGGATGGCAAGTCATAGGGACCTAAATCTAGACCAGCATTTGGATTGACTTTGAGTGTTTTAGCACACTGCTAAGGATTGGCATGGAAAGAATTGTCCTCCAGGAAATCCCATCCTCTTTATTTCCTGAATACCAGTGATACAAATAAAACACTAAACATTTGGTGGAAACACAGGTGCAATTTCAAGAGAAAAACCCCAAATTCATTAAGTAATCCAGACTAGTTGGTAGGGAGCTTGGATAAATGGACACTGATTGGCAGAGCCTGGCTTCAGCCTTGCCTGTGCTACTTCTTCCTGTATCTTTCTTCTAGTAGACTATCAAAAGCATGATGGACACTCTACTGGAGGCAGGGTGCTACTGTGGCTTTTATTCATTCATGTTCTTGGAGGGATTTTGTTTTTTAACTTTTCTCTGAAACACTGTAAAGTTTAAGAGCTTGAAAGCCCAACAATAAACATTAAATATTAAAAAAATAAGCATTTTTAAATGAAAACTACGCTTTCTGCACCAAGTAAATCTTAGTTTGAGTTTTTTTTTTTTCTTTTTTTTTGATTTAGTGAAAAGCAAGCCTGCTATAGACTCTTTTGGCCTATGAGGTACACACACATGCATAGGAACAGAAAGATTTCCAAAATTAAACCCTAAACAATAGTCAACTAATTGTGAATACATTGCTTTATCACTAGGTTAAAATCAAATCCATAGTATCCTGCACAGGAGCAAATAAGGACTTGAGACCACTTTGAGTTTTTCTAGAAAAAGAAAAACAAGCGTTACAGGAAGCTGTCTAGGCCTGTACTGAGTGTCAAGAACCAAAGGCCCTGCAGTGTGGTGACACCTTGACACCACGGATGATTTTTTTGAACACAAATAACAGAAATTGTGTCAAATTTATGTGGTATAATAACTAACCACATAACAAATATTCATGAGTACCCCCTCTGTGTCAGGCACAGAGGGTCAGATGACAGATTAGTCCTCATCAACTCTCAGAATAGATATCTATTCAATAACAGATGTAAATATGCCAGGAAAAAATGGTTCAGTCTATAAGCCTGAGTTCTGGGTTGGTCTGGAAAAATAAATTGCAGCTTTGTTAATGGATGTTTGTAAAACAGTATGGCCCTATGACATTAATTGTCACATGCACCCAACATACATCCACAGTCATCTTCTGTTGGCCTCTGAGGTTGTGGACATTGAGGTTTTGGGCCTGAAAGGAGTGAATTGGCTTGGAGGTTATTTTTAGTAGACGTGGAAGAAGATTGTCAGCCTAGGTCTAGGGACATCTATGTAATATTTCCCTACAATTATCAGTGAATGTGTTTTATTTTAGTTTTTGGCCTTTTATTTAGATTCTGGCCCTCAAGTGAGAGACATTAGAAAATTGTGAAAATGTCTCAGATTCACAATATAGTTCCTGGGAAACAGAGTGGTCATGGATCAAGTTATCCTGGCCTCTGGAGAAAATCTGTACTATTTTATAACTGGGCTATTTTCATAAGTAATGTTTTATAAGACAAAACAAAGCAATTAATTTTTTTGTTGTGGTGGTCAACATGGCTCTGTTTAAAGAACAGAGATGTTGTGACATAAGCTGACAAAAGCCAGGGAAACTACAGTTGGAACAGGAGTTAAATGTCACATTATCAGCTCCAAACTTGAACCTGCTCCAAAGTATTAAGTTAATGTTGGAAAAATGATGACATTTAAGAACATTTTTTAATGCAACATTCAATTATCTTGGTTTGACATTAGCCTTAGGGTTTGAATGGTCCTCACTTGCCAGAAGTTGTCCCTCAAAGAAGATACATCTTACACTGCTTTTGTCTCTTAAAGATAATTGGTCTAGATAATGATACCAACTTGTCTGGTTTCTTGGAGACTGAGGTTATATTAAATGAGGTTATATTAATATGCACTTAGTGTTTGTTACATACAACACTGGTATTCAGTGGAGAGAAAATGGATGTTTCACAGCTGTGTTCTTGTGGAGCTGACCATAGGCATGGGACAGAGGAAACTTTAGGGTACTGCCATTCCTGGAAGAGAGGCTATGAATTTGAAACTGTTCTCATTGAAAAGAAAATCCTTCAATGTTTTAATAACTCCTGGTGTGCCCCATGCCAACAAGTGTTACAGGCCTTAAGCTGAGTGGAAAGGCAGACTGACTGAATGAGTGTCTACATATAACAGTTCCCCAGATGATGGTATCTAGGACAAGGAGATGTCCACTGCCTCTCTTTTCATTCTCTTCCTGTCTACACTGTCTTTTCTAAACAACTCTGCCTCTGAAAGAGTCCCCTTTTCTCTGACTTTGCTTTGTTCACTCTTTTCACTTTCCTGTCTCTCCATCTGTACTTCTTCCAGTCCCACCTACTCCCCCCAAGTTGTGATTCACTTATTTATTTATTGTTATGTGATGCCTTTGCCACATATGACTCCTAGAGAGGTCCAGATTTGCTCACAATTCACTGTCAACAGTGCTTTTGATACTTATGAGTGTAAATATCCACTTACTCTACTGTGCCCATTTTCTACCTTTATTTATTCATTCATCATTATATATGTTAGAATGTACATGTGACATGAAAACAGAAGAAGGACTGTTTGGGGGGAGGAAGGACACAGAAAGCAGTGGGAGAGCTAAACACAAACAAGGCACAGTGACAATATATGTATGAAAATTCACAATGAAACATTTCGTACAAGAATTTAAATATTGAAATCAAATAAATTAAATTCCTACCTGGTCAAATAATCAGACAAAAGCATTTCTATACATACATAGAGGCACGTAGGTGAGTGACTGACATATTTCACCACTTAAGAAGGTAGAACAGTGGTGCCTGGAGAGATGGCTCAGCAGTTAAGAGCACACTCTGTTCTTCCAGAAGACCTGAGTTCAGTTGCCTGCACCCACACTTGGTGGCTCACAGCTGCCTATAACTCCAGCTTCAGTGATTCTGGGGGCCTCTTCTGCCTTCTGCTTTCCTCAGGCTCACACAAGCCATAAACACACATACACACACACACACACACACACACACACACACACACACACACACACACACGGGGGGGGGTGTATCATTCCATAAAGAATGACACCAGGCATCTCTGTCCTCCTGCCTCCTGTCCAGTGGCCTTCCTCTTAGGTTGCTCTGTCATAGGCTTCCTGGTCTCTTTTCAATCCCAGAACAGTGAAAAGTCTCATGTTGTCAAATTCCAGAATAAATACAGTTAAGTGAGCATAAAAAAGGTCACATGCAATTGTGTCAGGAGCCAGTAAGGAATTCTCTCCGGAGTCGGTGCAATGAAAAGACAGGTCCTGGCTGTGTTTAAAGCTTGGCCAATTCACTGTGTGACCTATATTGAATTACTCAGTTTGATGGATGAGAGAGTAATGGGAATAATAGTATCTAATAGCTAGTGATACTGTAAAAGTCAGTGCAACTGAAGTGTGTAGTGAATACAATATAAGGTGTTAGGTGAAATTACTAATTTTTCTTAAGTAACATTCTCACTGTCTGTGTCTCCCCTTCTCTGCATCCCTTGTCTAGAATGAATCGCACCGCCTACACTGTGGGAGCTTTGCTTCTCCTCTTGGGGACCCTACTACCGGCAGCTGAAGGGAAAAAGAAAGGGTCCCAGGGAGCCATCCCACCTCCAGACAAGGCTCAGCATAATGACTCTGAGCAGACCCAATCCCCACCACAACCTGGCTCCAGGACCCGGGGGCGGGGCCAGGGGCGAGGCACCGCCATGCCAGGTGAGGAAGTGCTGGAGTCCAGCCAAGAGGCCCTGCACGTGACAGAGCGCAAGTACCTGAAGCGAGATTGGTGCAAAACTCAGCCTCTGAAGCAGACCATTCACGAGGAGGGCTGCAACAGCCGCACTATCATCAACCGCTTCTGCTACGGCCAGTGCAATTCCTTCTACATCCCCAGACACATCAGGAAGGAGGAAGGCTCCTTTCAGTCTTGCTCCTTCTGCAAGCCCAAGAAGTTCACCACCATGATGGTCACGCTCAACTGTCCTGAGCTACAGCCACCCACCAAGAAGAAACGGGTCACACGCGTGAAGCAGTGTCGGTGCATATCCATTGATTTGGATTAAACCAAAGCGGGCATACTCAGCCTGTCATAGCCATGCGGAGAGCCATACCTAAACCACCTGATTCCTTCTTGGCTTAAATCTAGAGGTCCGAAGAACCAGCAGTTGCTTCCCAGCTGGAGGCTGCTTACGCATAGTGTATGCACATGAGTGTGCATGGGTGTTGTGTGTGTTCCCAAACACCAGCGGAAGCAGCCTCTGCTAGAATGCACTTCCTGCTACTCTGCTTCAGATGGTCGGAAACTCCCACACCGCTGGACCCAAACACCCACAGGGGCAGGGCTGTAGCTGGCTTTGCCTTTGTGTCCCATGCGCCCTCTTGGGCACGAGGACTTCACTTGAGAATGAATACTAATGGAAGAGGTAACTCCGCGGGCTGCAGGAGACTTGGAGCCTTTCAGTGCTTGCCCTTCGCTCCCATAACACATGCCTCCCTTGCTCTCCCTGACATCTCAGTCTTAGCCCATGTCCCTAAATTCATTCACTTGACCGTGGGTATAAATGTTTTCCATCTTGTGAAGAACCTCCAGAATGCGGGGAGATGTGTGACGGAGGACAAACAGGACGGAGGATTGACACAGGAGTGTTGAGGATGAGGACCAGTCTGGGACAGTGAAATTCAGTATTAGGATGTCCAGAGTTTGAAAGCTGTTCTCCAAAACAGTGTGAGCCTTGGTTGAGTGAAAGGGTTTTCCTGGTATTTGAAAGAACCCAGATGCACAGAGGAGAAAAATAATCACACACACACACACACACACACACACACACACACACAAATTTTCTGTGTCTGCCTCTGCAACCTCCTGACACTAACTGTAACCCAAAGTTAAAAGTGAAATAATGACCGCTCCTGTTTTAAAAATCAAGAGAGTGAAACAGAAAGAAACATGGCCTCCTACTTTACTTTGCCTCTCAGGTGGACAACTGAGAATCTTGTACACTGGGATAGGAAAATACAAAACAAACAAACCTCCTTAGCTTAGTTTTGTTGGATTAACGTTGCTTTTTGTTATTCCTGCAAAATGCTTCTGAGATGTACAACCTTGTGCTAAAAATCCTTCCTTTGCTGAGCACATCTGCCAATGAGGAACTGCCTAAGATGAGAGAGTTACCTGCTCCATTTGAGCTAGGCACAAAGGAGGGTTTTCTGTTTTGGCTCTTGTTATGAGAGAATCAGAGAGGGGGTGGACTCAAAGGGATTGCATCTGCCTAGGCAGTGTCTGGAAGAGAGATAGGGCTCAGACTATCTTGTCTTATTTTTGCTCTTAGAAGGTCATAAGAAAGTTCCATTGGGAAAGCAGAACACTAGGTATAATAACAGGCCTTCTATTCCCCTTGGGTCAATTCAGCATTGTAATAATTATGCCTACTATGGATGTCCTCTAATAACATCTGGGCTTCCCAAATGCCAACTTAGCATTTATGTAAAGGACAAAATGAAAGGTAGCCTTGATACATTTTGGCTTGGCTAAATAATACTCCTTAAGACTGAGACTCTAGCTATAAATGCCTTTTTTTTTTTTTTTTTGTCTTTTTCTCTCAGAGTCACTAGTCAAGTTAGGTGTTATTTGGAAGGGAGACATTCACTGCCCATCAAAGCTGCCACAGTCACAGAAACATTGGATATAAAGAAACTTTTTATTTTGGTCTAGCACTCTCCCATGTGACATCTAAATGGAAACTATGCTGTAAGATAAAAACTATCTTGAACTCCCAAACATTGGGTCTAACTTTGAAAGTTTAAAAGTCACTACTGATGATTCCAGAGTAGATGAATTTGTGCAAGCATAGTCTTTGTGTTTCATATGTACTGTATGCTCCTTCCCTGAATCCACCACCGTAGGATGGGTTTGATTAGGCCCCCAAATGCAAAGACAAAGTTTTGAGGTTAGTGAAGAGTGAAAAATAAAAGAGAAAGAAGCTGAAAATTTAAAACCACATGAGAGACGAAATATGACAATCAGTGCTAAGAAACACCGAATGTCTTAATTCTGCCACAAACATACAGTATTGTTATAAATAATAGTTAGGTTGGCAGCCACAGTCACCTTCCAGGAGCTTGTACCACAATCTCTCATGTAAGTTGGATTTGGTTTAACATAAAGAGGATTGCCTCAAAATTAACTTCATGGGAGCAGTCAGCAATAGAAGTAGCCTTAAAGAACATTACTGGCCAAAGAGGGAAATGCCTGCCTTCCTTGCTATGCCTAAACCAAGACCATCACCTCCTCCATGTCCTCCATCATTGATCAAAGATGCCCTGTCTGTGGCTTGTTTTGGACTCATTAGTGATGTAATGATGTGTATTTTCTCCACCATTTTAGTAGAAATGTCTTATGGTAAGATAGTTGTGATCTTGATTTTGCCTATCAAAATAATGTCAGATATCAAATATGAATTTAATGTTGTTCTCTTTGTGCTTGGCATTGAAAGAGAAAAAATCACATACCTTGTAAGCCTGGGGGTGTCCTTGCAACTGTACTCTTCACAGCTCAATGTTATAAGTGAAAAATCTGGAGGAAAAGATAATTTCCACCGTGTGGAATGTGAATAAGCAAAAAGTTATGGTTATTTAATGTAATTATGAATTCAAGTCTTTTGGTTACTGTGATTTCAAACATGCTTTCTTTCTATATTTTATATGACGGCCTCTGAGTTGGGCAAAGAAGAAACTGGCCATTGTATGTTGTTAGGGACTTTTGTCAGGTCAGAGGGAAACACAATATTGTCACATATGAAGAGATGTTACTGAGTCAAGGATGACTTTTATTTTCTAAAATTGGATGTTCCTTAAGGATTGACATTTCTGAAACATTAGGAAAGACTTTAAATGTTGTTTTGAGAGACATACAATGTGCATATACAAGCAAATAGCAGATAATGATGGCTAGTCCACAAATACATATGAACAGAACATTGCTAAAAAAGAATTCTGAGCTGAAAGAGTGAAAGAAATTCTATTGTCATTCCTCAAGATATTTAATACCATCTACACTGTGTATTTAATCTGCATTAATCATTTTAAAACAACGAAGGATTCTATAGGCTATGATCGAACTACTTTGCTATGGATGAGGATGAGGTGGGATTTAATGGTCTCATAAAAGCTAATTTGGCTTCAAGTTTTATGAATCTGTAACTAGAATTTTATTTTCACCCTAATAACATTCTATATAACCTTTGCCAAAAAAGCAATCAATAAATTAAACTTCTTCTTTTTGTGTATGTGTGTTTGAATTTTAATTGATGGCTGTCTCTCTGCAGGGCCTGAGGCAGGGACTCATTGGACCCAGAAAGGAGGAAGTACAAAGATGGCTCTTGTTTGGAGAGGAATCTATTCGTTGCACCCAGGTCTTCCTTCCTTCCTTCTTTCCTTCCTTCCTTCCTTCCTTCCTTCCTTCCTTCCTTCCTTCCTTCCTTCCTTCCTTCTTTAGATTTATTTATTTTATGTGCATGACTGCTCCATCTGCATGTATGCCTGCAGGCCAGAAGAGGGCATCTTATCCCATTATAGATGGTTGTGAGCCACCATGTGGTTGCTGTGAATTGAACTCAGGACCTCCAGAAGAGCAGCCAGTGCTCTTAACCACTGAGCCATTTCTCCATCCTCCAGGTAGATTTTTCTGATCCTCTTGATTTCAGTAGTGACACCTCAGACGCAGGCAGGCAAAGACAAATAAGGCTGGTTTTCAATTGAATCATAAGCAATCTCCCCAAGCACAGTTAGAAGGCAGTGATTATGACTGAGGTCTGCAGAAAGCAGAGGGCTTGATGATAGGCTTATTACAGCGAGCAAGGAGGAAAGATGAGGAGAAAGGTTTGAATTTAATAGAAGAAAGAGTTGTAATAGGGAGAGTGATCAGCAATACCATGGGCTGACTTGGAGAAAACACACTTGTTTTTCTTGAAAATATTTAAAATCTGCTAGACATCATTCCATAGGAATATTAGGAAAGTTAGTTCTCTGAGATCATGAAAGTTTCTAGGAGTTCATCACTCCACTGGACATACAGTATTATGCGGTTTGATTAGCTGTCAACAGTAATCAAATCCCAGTGCAAGCATGTATGCAAAGTGCTAATGTTGCACACTATGCTAAGAGTTTAATTTTTATTGTTCCATTGAAGTATCCCAGGATAGCTTAATGGAGAAGATTCTGGTATCCTCCCTAAGAGAAAGTCTCAGATTCCTGTGGTCTTATTGTAACACCCAGGTCCTTAAAAATTCTAGGATGTTTTTCAGTAGAAGTAAAAATTGTTAAAGGAATAGAAATCTTAAAAAAAATTATAAGGTTTTTCTCTCCTTAACAACAGAAAAGAGATCCAACTATTGATTATTGATTAAGGTCATCCATGCTCATATTAGGCAGCACTAGAATAGGAGCTCAAGTTCAGAGGGGCTAAATTGAAGCCTATTTGCCTGGGTGGGGAGTGGCCTGGAACATTCAGGGGCTTCAGGAAAGCTGCATTCAGGAGGCAACATCTGAATAAGGCTGGAATGGTGTGAGTGGAACTCCACATAGAAGAGCATTGCAGGCTCAAAACAACCTCATCTCCCGCCATAGAAGCAAGGCATGTAAGAGTGAATCACTGAAGAGACTAATATCTGAATTCAAGTCATCCTCCTGCCTCTGTCCTTTTGCTACTGGTTCTATAAGCACTTGTCACTGTGCCCATAGTCAGCAGATAAACAAATTCTAAATAAGTAGAGGAAAAAATAGAAATACGATATATTGGAAACCTGGAAGTGGCAAAAAAGAGAAGAATTATGAAAAATAGACAAATAGAAATTCTAACTTTGGAAAACTAGTAGCCAAAATAAAACTCATTAGAAGAGCCAAAAGCGGATTCTACAAGGTAGAAAATCAAACATGAGAAAGAAGGAGAGAGAAGTAGGGGAGGGAGGAAGGGAGAAGAGAAAGAGACTAAACTCAAATAGGACAACTCTAATCCTAATACCCAGGAGTGGAGGTAGATGGATCTCTGTGAGTTCAAGTCAGACTG